TCAATCTACATGAATTAATATTCTCAATAGCCAATCTCAACTTATAACCATCCTAATTAGGGAATTAGAACGTGGTGATTAAAACTATCCAATTCTTGCACCAACGTCAAGGAAACTTTCTCAAACCATAATCGCAGCTTCAGTAACCACTTCTACATTTTCCGCCCGATCTACCCCACCGGGCTCAATGGAACACATGTATCGCATCGGAAGTGTCCCACTCGGCTTTGTCCGATTGTCGCTTGTTGCGATCCGATTGCGAGACACAAGCACTTTTTGTCAGCGATAATCGATTCCAGCCTCCTCGCTATTCAATGTTGCTTTATTCAAAGTCTTTTCTAAGGAAAATTGGCGTTCCGAGGCGGCTTGAGACGCCCTCCCCTCTTGGACCATTGTTGAGCGTTTCCTCGATCCCCGCCCCGGTGCTGCTTTTATGTGACATCGTATAAACAATAACAAAACCTGCAAACAGCCACTGTAGCAGATTTGTAGCGATATCGTGTGGCGTACAATGGGATATAGTAGCTTTAAGATTGCTAATTATCCTTAGTTCGTCAGTTTCAAAATTGTACAGCTTTACATAATGAGTGATCAAAGCGTTTATATTATATCACAATAAGTAGTACAGGTTTCATAATGCGAGTTAAATAATTTAGATAGAATTTAACTGCTTATACTTATCGTGAAAGAATTAGGAAACATCTCTGTTGTTTTTGTTTATAATTGTGTTATATACCGTTGAAATTGTTTTAAAATCAGTTAAAACCGAGACAAGAATAAGCGCAAACTATACTTAACAAAAATATGCCTTGAAATTGTCTAATCTATATATCATTGGATTCTCAAAAAAGTATGTCCTATATACAGTAATTTAGAACTTGAGCTACTCAAGTTCTAAATGACTAACATAAAATGTTAATGAATCATTTTTAATTGTCTCAATAGGCTACACTACTTTCTCAACACGGAAAACAACACATTGGGACGAATCATTAAACAAACTCCTAGATTACATCCGAACAGTAAATCTCTCTGATTCCCCGATAAAATTCCCTCCCCAGCTGATGCGATCAGTAAATCTTGTCCGGCCGACCGCAACGCCAGATGAGCGAGCTCCGTTACGGCGTACCACAAGGTGGCCAAATATACCCGCAGCTCTTAGGTACAGATGATCAAAATAGCGTTATCTCTGTTGGCAACAAATCTCCGATAATCGGCCCAGTTGATCGCGGCCACACAGACTCAAGGAGGCCGTTGTCGTCGGGCACGAACCATTACTCGGATCCCCTCCATTACTTCCCCTACCACCCCTCATTTATTTTAATTAGTCCGGACGGTTTTTTCGTGAATCACTCTCCGTCTGCAGACTGGCGAATTCTCAAAGGGTTTACACTGAGATGCCATTCATTAGATGAAGGATCGTGGGAGAGGTTAGCATTTGCAAGCTTATCAATGTTACTACTTTTTCCTAACCTATCCTTTTTCGTGTGTTTAAGCTTTTTATACATTAGTAATTTACAGAATTCTCATGCTATTATGATGTTAGTATGACTTTTTGAGGAGAAAGATCTCAAACATAGAACCAGTTTTTATTTTAACTCAATAGGTGGACCAACAGTTCCAGATGTGCTTCAAACTCAAAGATCGCATTGGTGAAGGGAAATTCAACCCAGGCGTGCAGGAAGTTCCACACTCTAATCTCTCTAACATCAGCGTTTCATCCTTATGATTTAAACCCCCCCCCTTTAAACATTTCTATACGTAGCAATTAATGCAATATTGCATAGGCCTACTTTTTTATTTCTTTTTAATTCAATCGTCGCAAGTACAAGGTTATAACATTTATCCTCAAAACCAACTACAGGTGACTTCTGTTGAAAACACTGATGCGGCAATGGTTTCTAAGGTGGGAGGTAAGTACACACCCCCCATGTATTTACCCCCCCCCCCAGAATATGCCGTCGTGGCGCGTCGAGTCTTATCAAAAAACGATGACGACGCAGCGCTGGCAGCTCGCCAGACGACGCTCGTTCACACCTTCTCCGGTGTCATGCTCGGCCACCCTCGTGACGGTTTAATCCGACCGGACAAATCCGCAGTTGTTCTCACGACTGTCGTTGTCGTTTTTTGCCGGTGGCAAACACAGTGATGTTAATTAGTTTAAACAATCAAGAGTGAACTAGTTTACAGTATCATTTTGAGTGAGTGTGAGCTAAATAGCTTCGTAACATAACGGTTATCTGGCCACAAAAAAGTAACGTAAATGAAATGTATCGGATACAGTAGTGTTGTAAGGTATTCTGCGACATTAGGTTATAGACGTTTTAATTCCGTTTGTTGAAGAACGTGTAAAGCGTAAAAACAAGAAGTGACAATCCAACACGTCTAAATGTGAAAATCTGTATATGTAATATCTTCCTTTGATGTGCTAAATATAGTTACTGCATCAAATATATATTGAGAATATATCACAATACAATTTACACTTAACCAGTGCTGATGCCTTGAAACCGAAATAAAACCCAATACTTTGCGTTTTGGAATTTAAACATTTGTAATCCTAGCCCTAAAATATACATAGATTGATTTATTCTGGAAGTTACGAGTGTTTATCAAATAAAATTCATAGCCCCATTTTGGAAGTTTTTAATTGTAATTCACATCAAATCATGTGCTCTCCCTGGGTAAGATGAATCCAATCGATGCAAGTTAAGTTTGGAAGTTTAGGTTACATTTGCATAATATAATACCTAATTTAGTCTACACTGACATTTATAAATCTACGGAAAGTAAATAAAAGAAACGTCTTATAACACTTAAAACATATATTTACGCTTATACTGTTACTCACAAGACGGTAAATATACAAAACAGATGGTAAGTGGTGATCGATTTCGATTGGACAATCCAATCATCATCAGACCCAATAGGCGAATCTACATTCGCAGAGCGTCCAATCGAAATCGATCACCACTTACCATCTTTTTTGTATATTTACCGTCTTGTGAGTAACAGTATAAGCGTAAATATATGTTTTAAGTGTTATAAGACGTTTCTTTATTTACTTTCCGTAAATTTAATAACACGAACAATGCTGATCAAGAAGTTATTTATAAATCTACAAATTAGTAGAAGAATCAACAGCAAAGTTCACAAAACACTAAACAAAGAAAAATATTACTAACCGATCAACAAAGTGATGTATTTCTACACAATTTTACGAAGCACGAAACAGAAAGCGCACCCAAGTTCCGGTTAGTTCATGCACGGACCAATAACGCTCGTTGTGCATGACACGAAATGTACGAATTGTCAATTGTTGCGCAAACATCGACAGGATTTCCCGCGATGTTGGGACAGCGTGAATATCACGCGAAACGTTGGTAACGTGAGCGATAACGTGGATGCTTAACGTGGCTTATTTTTTATCATAACATATTCGTGGCAAACACGCTATACTGCATGCAATAGTGTCGCGCATTCGACGCTATCTTCTGTACAACAATGTATAATATTGGAAATAAGAAATTATTTAAGTACGTTTTTCTTGTGCAAAGAGAGATTTGATGGGCAGTTGAAATATTTTTGTCATTAAGTTACATTTTTGTACAGTTACATTTCTAATTGTTTCAAAAGAGAAAGGTCCAAAAAATTGTAATGAAAACTTCTTGCAATACATCTCCATTAAAACTAAGGTTGTAAAATATGATACGAACGTGTATGCTATAAAAAACGCAATTCCATATTTCACGAATGTTTATGACGTAATAATACAATACGATGTCTAGCGTGATAATAAATGCAATGCAAAATGCCTTAAACATGATGATATATACCTTAAACGCGATCATATAATTCTATAAATAATGTACGTATATTATTCGCTTACTTAGTTTTATCCAGTATTTGGAAACTTATATTTAGAGCAATTTTATCTGATTCTCAGCAAATAAAACATTATAATTTAAAACCGAATAATTATTTATTTGTATGTCGTAACATATAGATATTTTAAATATCCGGACAGAAACAACTTGAAAATGTCTTAAGTTTGCCAAACAGGATAATAACCTAAGGGAATGTGATAAAAATGACAAAAAGTCCCATTCTAACAAATATTATCCAACGAATAATTTGAAAAATACAACTTGGAAGTGCCTCCTGAACCTGTGGGTATTCCAAGTTTCACTCATTACACACGGGTCCCTGTAGAAGGCTAATTGCCTCATTAGACTAGTGCATCTGGACCACCAAGCTGTCAGATCCTAATCACCCCTATTACTATTTCGGGCATAGTTGAATCATGCCTCGGACACATTGTACTAAAGCGCTTAAATATGCTTGTCTAATTTAATCGACATCAGCGCACTCAAGGGTAGCCAGCATGAACACAAATTATGCTTCAGACTTTACATAGGATGAGAAGAGTTTTAGAATCAAAACCAAGTCCATGATATTATTTAAAAGGAGTAACATAGGTACAGATTATTTGAGTTTTGTTTAAGATTTGTTTACTATTGAAAGAGTTTGTACTAAAACGTTTTCCTATGGAAATTCTTGTAGTGTTTACCTGAGCTTTAAAATGTTTAACCCTTTGGATTGGTTTGGGTAGTTGGAAATTGAGAATTATGCTTTGGAAATTTGACTTGGAAACTTGTATGGATACATGGCATGTAATATATAAACTCCCATGTACCACCTTTCTTTGCCTAGTATCCTTATCTCTAGATAAATGAGACTACATTGGAACCAACAGAACACAGAAGCCGTCATCATCATTGGTGTAAAACCCATTGGCGATTAGCAGGTCTTTAAATTGATTCATCTTGACATAAGGCCTGTGCACTACTGTAAACTCGTCGCATAAGGGAACCATTTTTAAAAAGGTTTTTTGAAGCATTTGACGATTGACGGGTTTAAAATCAGCTCTTTACAGAAGTCCCGCGATCTAACCAAATGACTCCATAACTGAATTAAACAAATTATTGAATGTAACTCACGTTGTGCAGCTTGTAGTAGAGCCCGCAAGCATTACAGACAGGTTCCCCATTCTGGTTACGTCTCCAGAGGGTGGTGGTGGTTGTCTTGCAGTTGGCGCAACTCGTACCCGCTCTCCGCGCCGCCGACTGTAGTGACTGGAACAGAAGTGAAATGTTTAGTTTGGATGTGGAGTGAAAAGTTATACAGTATCTATATATAAAGCCAAAAGTACCCATGAACTTTTGAGAAAACTACAAGTCACATCCCTATAAACCATATACTTAAAATGTTCGTCATGACGAGAAACCTTGCGCAAAATTATCCATTATTTCATAAATTGCCCTTTAAGGTCGTAATTACTTCCCAAAGGGAACTTTCCATATACCTAATGTTAAAAATATCTCAGCTGTTCTTATTTGTTTGTATTGCTGTATTCTGTTTTGTTTATTTCAGCTTAATCAATTAATACCTAATTTATGAAGTCAAACGGGCACGTGGGTAACAGCTAGTAGTGGTAGTTGTGAATACAAATAAATCAAACAAAACATATCTAGAAATCTTGATCAAAAGTTGGTTGATGTACAAATTATTCACTGCGAATAATTCAGTTATACGTTCCGATCCAAAGACAACAGAGGTTGTAACCCCAACTGGGTTAAATTACCGCTCAAAAATGTCCAACTAAATCTGTGGTAAAATAAATTTGTATGTATGCAAAAGTAAAACACGTTTTAAATGGACTGAAAGAGAGTTCTTGAAATCATCCAACAAAGTTGCAGACATGTGATTTTTTTTATAAATGAGTTTGATTTACTTGTCAAACAAAGATTATTGAAGGCAATTTGAGATTTTACCATTAGGTCGTTTCGTTGCCGACGATTACACACGTTATTTTTTTAGTATTTGAATCCAAGAAGATCTCACAGCTAAAAAGATTTATCGTGTGACATCAAGTCTAATTTTAACAGTACAAAATTATGTCACAAGCTATGTAAAATAGCTAAACTAATATCAACTAACAGTTAGTGTTACAGTTAAGAACCATTCTCTATGAGTAAAAATCCTAGACCCGAATGATGAGACCACTTGATCATTCCAGCCGATTATCCCTACAGCTTCTGAAACATCGTGATGAACACCCCAACAGTAGCAGTCCTCACCATTACCTAAATCTTTCATTTAACCCTTTATCGGCCGAATCAGTAATGAGAGGCATTTAGCCGCGATGGACTTATTGGAAAATGACGACATTAAAGGGTAAATTGGAAAGGATAACCATAGCCCTATCGAAGGGCTAAGGGTTAGTGTGTGCCATTATTAAACGGCGTGTTAATGGCCGCGAGCTATTACTGAAGATGACTCCTCGTCGTGCTGTTAGACTGCTAGCCGTGTGTTTAGGCTGCCTACGTGATATCGGGACACCCCACGATTAGGTCACGATTTTTCGAATCATCCTGTATAAGTAGTACAACAACATGATCATTGTGCGCGCGTCAAATTAAACTGAGGCGGACAAAAGATCGTTTTGTAATCAATAATTTTACAATTTTCCTTTGTGCTTGTTGTGACAACAATGTCTGGATGCTGACGAGCAGTCTGGCAGTCTGGTATGCAACAATGAGGAGCGCTATGAGGCTAGGAGAAAATATAATGTACACAACGCTTCTTGACTTCAGGTTGGCGAGTCGTACTTGCCCTTTCTGTGGTTATTTTCTCATTTATTACCAGGATATGCATTAATTATGTTTCCAAATCATGTTTCTGAGTTAAAAAAATAGTATAAAATAATTGTCATCACCTTTATAACAAACCTACCCTCTACAGTACCTTTAACACAACAGGATGCTGTATTTCTGCATAAGTCAAGAAAAACTTGTCCTGAGTTGATATCAAACTAGGTATCCAACTAACTAACTTTAAAAGTAAAAATATTAATATTCTAATGTGTTTTCATTTCCAGGAAGGTTGAGAATTGTTGACTCTATTTCAATAATTAGTTTATCAGTTTCTTGTTATATCTTTGTTCAGCGATCATCCAAATTTTCCAAATCTGTACTTATCCCAAAAATGGACCATTCACCTCTAAGATTTCCATGAGTCATTCAGTTTTTACTGTTACAAGAACCATGTTATACAACCGCTTAGAAACCAAGTTTAATAAAAAACACGATTCTATTTCTTTGTCCGGTTATGTCGACATTAGAGGACTAACGACTGCAAACTATTTGATCCCAGATAGATCACTCTACTAATTTAGATTTACATCAACAGTTTGGGGTTTTTACAGAAACATTACACAATCACTTCCAAATAACATCTGCACAAACAAATGAATTCTTCGTCGATTTACGTCGAATTAGAAGTCAGACTACAAAATGTATAATAAGACCACTTCGACTCCGATGGTATGGTTGATTACATCGTTATGTGAATGGGTCATTCATCAAAGCAATCGTCAAATGCTGTATTCTCCACTCAGTACTCAAAACGATTACAATTCCACCACGTACATTCGATTCATTGAATCCGACCTAATGCTACATTAATATCCAGCCAGTGCCCTGTTGGTCCCACGGTCCCTTGTAATAGTCCTGGTGATAAATACTTAATGGGATGCCAAGCCACCATATTGGGCGAAATATCAACTTCGTAAATAACGTAACGCGATATGGCCGAAATCGTAAAGTCGCCAGGAACTTGAGGTATGTGACAAAAACCTTGGTCCCAGACAGACAGGGCAGGCGCGGGAGTGGCGTCACATAGGGGTGGTGAGCTCCCTGCCGCGCCGTCATTAAAAACTACAATTGTGACGCCGATGGAGACACCACCTTGGCGACTTTGACTTTAGCACGAGTTTTAGGACAGAAATAAACTTTGGCGTCGGTTTGGTTTTAGGGCTGTTGAGAGAAAACGCCACAGTAAACAGATTTTAGACCCTGAGTGAAACATTTGACCATTTTGACATTATATACCCAATCCAGGTCAAAACCTTAGCTAGTTGCAAAAATGAAGTTTGTGTAAGTTGAGCCACTGACAAAGTGGGTTATTAATCTCCAATGTAAGAGAGATTTTGCGGACGCATTTTGGACCCTGAGAGAAATGATTGCGTTTTGTTTGACTACTGTATAGATCAATGCAAACATTCTATTGCTATGTTAAATTAGTAATTTTAGATACAAATGAACGTAGCTGAATAAACTGAGCCATAGAAAATGTGCTACTGTCAATTGCTGAGATCAGTTGATGATAACTTTTTAATTAAGACAAACTATCACATCATCGTAGTATAAGATAAAAAATATGACTTTGATAGCATAGTTCTGTACTCTATGAGGTGATAATGAAAGTAATTTATCTTATGATAAAACATTGGCTACAGTTTTTCTCTTTGCTGTTTTGGTTCACTAAAAAGACACTACCAAACCCCTACATTTCACACTAGAAAGCACTCGAATCAACGGGACGCAAACAAAAGCGTATGAAAAGATTGAAAAGCAACAATAAAAACAACGAATCGAACAAAAATGGCCAAGAACAAAACTTAAATAGGTGAATAACAAAATGACAAATTGTTGGGGACCTGAACGAATCAAAGTTGGCTACAAAGGCGAACCTTCCCTCCTCTCGAACGTGAAGTGGGGTTTGTTAGCAAACAAACAACTTGAAGTGGCTACTCAGTAGCAACAAACACTTCACCGCGTATTGTCACCAGAACTACCCTTCAGGAACAGCTGATCTAGGATGGGTCGAAAACTGTTCAGTGACAGATAAAAAGCGAGATAATAAATAAACAATCTTTTATACGCTAGGATGATGTTTCGATGTGTCTGTAGAAAGATATTTCTTCGGTATTTGCTAAAGGTATCTTTGAATCATCACTTTTCCTTATATGAACAATTACACAAAAACTGTACTTGCAATTCATCTACATGCATGCTTGATAAAACCCTATCTCAAAAATAGCAATAACTACATTCTTCGCTAATTTCTATTAGAAACATCTCTCCACATATTTCAATCATCGATTCTCAACACGAGTGATTTTTGCAGCCGATCGAGGGATTAAATATAGACTAGTGTCAAGCAGAGGAGGTTTTTAATGGGCAAAAGCAAGAAAGTATTTTCAATTAAAGGAAAGCTATTTCCAGCAGCATACGACCCGTCAGTTTAATTCCTTGACGAGAATGTAAAAACCGACCGTCGCTATGCCGAGGATCGCTGTCTGGACAAAATATTCCGCCAATTAATGAAGTACGCTGAGAAATGCACTGAGGCGGCGAGATTGGCCGAGGCGACAGCTAACATGGCGAAACAATGCGACTCTGATAGACATAGGAATCTGGACTGGGCATTGGCTGAATGAAATAGGACAAGATTGTGTCGGGAGATCAGGAAATCTGTAGAATTCGAATGGTTTGGAGTTTAGATAAAATAAAAAATTTTACTTTCCAACTGAACACGGGTTGGTAATCTCAAATAGTAAATTTTATAACAAGATATGGCCCACACAAAAGATAGGTAATTTGTTGGTCTATTAAATGTTGCGGTGTGAGGGTGACGGGGTTAACCCTTGGCATATTCACAAGTTTGTAAGAAGTTTTTGACCTACCAAAGAACTAGTACCCTTGGTACTTTTAACGGGACCAACCTAATTATTGCATTACTATAGAGGAGCAACATGCCTCCAAACACATAATAGGAACATTGGACATAATGTTGTAATTACACTCAGCTTCATGGCATAACCGTGAAAAAAGTTTCTTTCAATCAAGTAACGTTTCCATCCGTATCCTGAGTCACATAAAAAGTTGTTGCTTAGTTAGTTGGTTATAGACATACCACAAACAAAACTACCTGCGCAGAAACGAAAAGATCACGTGGTTCACGCCGGTAGGTGTGGCGTACCATTCAAACCTGCGCAGCTCGAAACGGCCCAGGGATCTTTCGTTTCTGGTATTACTATACCAGTTAAAACCTAAGACAGTCTTAACCTTTCTTATGCTTAGAAACTGATCCAGCCGAACTTTTGTCCTTTCTGGTTCTTGGTGCAAAAAATATTTCTGATCAGTAAGATAGTTAGGCAACTCAACCCTACACTCAACCTTCACTCATATCCAAAGTATGCAGCAGGTTCGCAAATGTAATAATAGTTATC